TTGTTGAAAACTCTATCCCCCTAAACTATTCCCTTCTTTTCTTCTCAGGTTCACCTCTGCCCAGAGTTGGTAAATATCCTTCCCAATAATTCTGTGATAATATTTCATATTCTAACATTTCTGAAGTACATAATTTTGTTTTGATGTTTTAAAATTCTTCTTAAATAATATCAATATTATCCTTTGCCAGAAGCTCTTTGTTAGTCAGCATGTGTCTTCAGAAATTATTCATATTGATAGATTTAGCTAATTCATATTATATTAATTTTTACTCATTTACTTATTGAGCGATAATGAGGATATTTTCAATTACTGATAATGCAACATAATATTGAAATTTGAATGAATACATGACTCCTTATAATTGTATTCTCTGGATTATATTTTAAGAAGTACACAGTCAAATTCTCTTGGATATATTCACTTTTAAGTCATTTTTCACCTTTTTAATTTTTTTTCACTAAAGGAAATGACTATGTTCTTCACCAAGATTTAGCAATAAGTTAGCAGCAATGACAGAACAGTAGATGTCAGTTATCAAGGGAAATGGTTCTAAGAGAAACCTACATTGGAGTGTGGAGTCCTGAGTCAATCTTGAGTAGTAGGAACACACCAAAATTTCGGACCACAGTGATCATGTAGGTGAGTACAAATACCACAGAAAGTGCACACTATAATTCTGACGAGCTTTCAGTCGTGGGTGAACAATTTCAGTCAGTGTTGTAGGCTGGCTTGTGACTGTTTTACAGAATGGACAACATAATAGCTGGAATGAGAAAAAGAACATTGAATTTAATGGTATAGAAATTGAAGTAATTTAAAAATGTTTTGACTTAATTAAAAATATTTTCTCAGATTAAAAAAAAAACAGAAAAATAACATAATTCACAATCTCCTGTAAGATTACTTAAATGATATCTGAGAATATGTATATTACAACTCTTTCCTTCCTTCCTTCCTTCCTTCCTTTGTTCCTTTCTTCCTTCCTTCCTTCCTTCCTTCTTTCCTTCCTTCCATCCTTCCTTCCTTCGTTCCTTCTTTCCTTCCTTCCTTCCCTCTCTCTCTCTCTCTCTCTCTTTCTCTCTCGTTTTCTTTTTAGGCAAGTTCTCACTATGTAGCCCAGGCTGCACTTGCTCTCTTGATCTTCCTGCTTCCTGACAGCTGGTATTTCAGGTATGCATCACCAAAACCAGAAACTCATTATTTTCCTATTTAATTAAAGAAGAATTGATTCTTTTAGTGTACTCACAATTTTATTTATCAATGAATTTGTGTATGTGTTTGTGTTCATCTATCATATACTCATACACATAAACATATATAACATTGTAAACAAAAGTTTCAAAGCATAATTCTTATAAAACTCTTGACAGTTTCTATTTCTTTCTGTTTTATGTTTTTAAATATTTGTGATTGTATGGCCACTATTGATTTTGACATGAAGGTTGAAACATATTGTTCTAGATGAATCTCAGCCTTCAAATACCAGTGTTTTCCAGGGGTTGCATCTAATGATAAGCTTCTATTTTCCTTCCAAAGTACATGAGGATAAGGAAATTCCAGTCTCAGGCACTTCAAATTCTGACTCATTTTGTTGGGGACAGGGTAATGCCCTTCATTCTTTCTTTTTAACCATATCAGAAAAAGAAAGATAATTTGCAAAGGGTTAATTTGTCAGATTTTTAACTGGTTAACTTGTACAGCAGTTGTGCTTAAGAAAATGAAGTTCCTTTCTTCAACTTGTTTGCATACATATATTTTGCCTTTTTTATTTTATTGAATAAGATTCAACAAAGGTGTAGCCCTTTGGCCTTACCCATCGATGTGACTACTTCATTAGCTTGAGATGATAAATTTTTTTTTAGTTTCTCTCACATGTAATGTTACTAATAAGTGAATAACATTAATGATGGTGATGATAATAATAAGCACCTCACTCACTATGTGATAGAGAGCTAACCCAAGACAGAAAACAGAAACAGAGACAAAAAAAGAGTCAGAGACATATCTAAAGGTAAGGTGAGAACTATTTAGAGCACTACTTCTCAAGTTGTTTTCATTGAGAACACATTTGAAACTGAAGTAATGATTTTCACTGGCCATAAATAGTGGGTGAGATTTGGGGATTTCAGTGAAATGATGTTCTTCTTTTATAAGAACAATAAATCTTAGATAGGATTTAAAAATAGAGGGCAAGGAGCTAGTGGAGTGGCTCAAGTGGTGGAGCTCCTGTCTCGCAAGTGGAGGCCCTGAGTTCAAACTCTAGTGCTGTCAAACCATCAAAAAGAAACAAATGAAAGGATGAAGGGACCCCTTACTAAGCTGAGATATTTTGTTAAACTCTTACACAATTTTTTTTTGCTCTATTGTGTTAGGATATGTATGTAAAAGACAATATTCTGGCATGCTCTTTTGTTTCTCTACACTAGCAGATTTTGCACTAAAGAAGTAGAAATTAATATGCTGTGAAAATGTAACATACACTCATTGTTCTTAACTGTTGTTTTTTTCTTGTTTTCTCTTCCTTTATGTTTTCTAGCTGTTGGTGAAGCAGTGGAGGTGATGAATCATAGTGGTGAGTCACATCTCTGGAGCTATAATACATGGCACTTCACTCACAGCAGTTAACTGACTATCTCCCTTAGCTGTTAGTGGTAACATGTCTTATGTGTTCTTTTATTTTCACAAATCCACTCAAAATTATCATTTTGTGAGGAAAAATACAGATCTCAACTGATTATTCAAAATAATATTCTTACATAAGTGACTCCCTTTTTCTTTTTATATTTGGGAGTTTCCCTTGCCTTTAGAGTTACGACTGAAAGTTAATTTTGGAAAAGGGTTTTTAAACTTTTTTTTTCTTAATTCTATCACAAGTACCGTGTTTGTTTTTTCTAGTATACGTTTGCCAAAGCATTACAAATCCAAATATATTAAGTAGTTCAATTTATTTATAGTATGGATATCAACAAAAACAAAACAAAATGAGACTATATATTTCTTTTAGATGATTAGATTTTACTTTAAAAACAGATATTTTTCATTTCACAAGTATGTCACTGTGCAGCCATACACCAACACTTCCATAATCAAAGTAAGGAGTACATATGCAAACAGAAAAAAAAGAAATTCAACCAGAATTTATATAATTATCATTTCCCTTCTTGACTGTCACCATAAATAAGGTATTAAGAAACTAGTTTACATCTGTCAAGATCAATTTGCAGTGATATCAGTCAAATTAATTGGTTTGTAGCTGACTAATTAGCTAATTCTTAGTTTCAATACATACATGTATCAGGTGGCAGAAATATAGACTGACATTTTCTTAAATATTCAGATTAGATGACCATCCTACTTAAGGATATATTAGCTTCATTGAAATTTGCATTGAGAATTTAGAATGTGCTATAAATATTGACAATCTTGTGAAAGTATTTTTGGTGATATTTATAAACCTGAAGTGTGGAATTTCATGATCTACCTATGAGTAAAAGAGGGAAAAAAAAAATACTAAAGTGAAACATAAATAGAACCCTAATGTGAGAGAGTTCACACTTTACATATTTTTGTTTCTTTGTCTTTTGGTAGTACTAGGGTTTAAGCACCAAGCTTCACTCTTGCTAGGCAGGTATTCTACCTCTTGAGCCATACCTCCAGCCCTTTTTGTTCTGGTTGTTTTGTTTTGGCAATACTGGGGTTTGAACTCAGGGCCTCCTGCTTTCTATGGTTATTTTGAAGGTAGTGTTTAACTTTTGGCCCAGCCTGTACTGTGATTCCTCCTATTTTATGCTTCCTGCTGTAGATGGGATGATAGGTACAGGCCACCATGCCCAACTTTTTTTTTTTCCCTGGAAATGGGGTTTTGCAGATTTTTTTCTTTTTTGCCTGGGATGACCTGAAACAACAATAATCCTCCCAATCTTAGCCTCCCAAGTAGCTTAGAATGACAGGTGCATACTATCTGCCCTAACTATTAGTTGAGATGGGGTCTCCTTAAATTTTTTTCCCAGGTTGACCTTAAATCATGTTCCTACAGATCTCAGCCTCCGAAGTAGTTAGAATAACAGACATGTGCCACTGATATCTGGATATGCATAATTTAGTGGACACATCATTTACTCTTTTGTAAGTCCTCATGAATAAAAATGAATCACTTTGGAGATTATGAAAACAAATTTCCCTTCCTTATATCAAGTGGGAAATTTCTTATGAAACCCGTTCTGTGATAATTGCTAATCCATTAATCCTTTTTAGTTCCAGTTCCTTGTATTATTGTTTAATTACGCTACATTGTCAAGGATCTCTTTGTACCAAAGTTTATGTATAGCTGGTTCTATTCAAAAAAGTTAAAGTAAATAGGCCATGGTCTAATGCCAATGCCTTTATTGAATGTCACATGATCAAATTTTTAACATTTAACTTTGTTCAAAATTTGAATCAATATGGAGTTTTCTTTTCTTTTATGTTTCTTATTTACATGTTGGTAAATAAGGCAGGAAAATTGCTGGTGAGATAAACAAAATTATTCATCACTGCATAATGTTACAATTTATATGTTGTTACTCAAATGTCAGAAGAATTCTAGTGAGTATGTAGATAGGGGTTGTATTACCCCTATGAACAAAATTAGTAACAGGTTCACAGAAATTAAAATATATCCCCAAGGTCACATAGTAGTAGTACTTAATACTTATTACTTATTCAGTAAGCATTCAAGCCCCAGTGTGTTTTTCTGAGTTTTTAGTTTTGAGGTCAATTTACTTTTTAATTTTAGATTCTACTTAACTTAAAAAAGAGTGCCAGTAGTTGCATTGGGGTGGGGCACCGTACTGCATACTTGAAACTCAACTGCATTCTGTACCTTCTTGGAAAAAAAAAATTCAGAAGAGGGGAGAAAGAAATCTGTCCTTCCTTTTAGTTCCTTTGTGCTGTCAGCTGAGCACTGGCTGAGTTGGTTTGTGAGTAATTTTGCAAGACTGTTTCACATTGTTTCTGGCCCAAGCTGAGCCTTGTTACTTCAAACAAAAGGCAGCCAATTACTAACTTCTGGTTGCTAGGTGTGGCCTCTGTTCAAATCCTATAAAATCAGGAGTCCAAGGCTGCAGTCTAGACTAAACCTTCAGAGAAAAGCCTCTCTGCTTCTTTGGAAGAAGGTTAAAAAAGGTAAGCCTAGGTTTTTCTTTTTGCTAGTTTTGGTTCTTTGGAAAACTTTCCCAACACCAGTAAAACCTCTTCTTGGGATATGCTTTGTGTTTTTTTAAAGAAGTTTTATGACTATTAAATGAAACTGTTTCTATAGGATTTATGACTTGTTGCATTTAATATGCTTTGATGAATCTCTGTAAAAATTACACTGAATATTTATATTTTAGTAATCACAATTGTAATTTTTTTGTTTTACTTAGTTAAGCAATACAATTTCAAAAATAGAGCAAGTTTACTTCCTTGTACTGTTGTTCAGTTACCATGGAAAAGAAGGAAAGAATGTGCCTGTCCTCTGGCAGCCTTAAAGGAATGTGTTTTTTTTCCTGCTCTTTGGAATGTGTATCTCCTGGAGTATGTGTTTTCCAGGAGTATCTTGAAGGGGAGTGGATACTTGTAGGGGCCAGAGAAGCCTACGTGGCAGTGGTGAGCTGGAGAGAGCTATTTCAAAAGAACAGGACTTTCATAGTTTATTTTTCTCTTTTGTAAAGAAAACTAAATAGATTTTGACTTCAGAGTGACATCTGTGCCCTTGATAATTAACGTTTTGAAATTAATGTTATGTTTACTCATCTAGTTGAAAAAGGTCCACTCATTACTCATTTCATTTAAACAGGGTGTGGCCACAATTCTCCTTCCTGTAATCTCTGTGTTACAGACAGGCTTTTCTAGTGCTGATTTGAAAACCCGCAGGGAAAGGAAACATTTCCTGGGTGGTGTCAGATAAATTATTTCATGGGAATGCCAGAGCCCTCTAAAAACTATGCTGCTTTGTAGTATCTTGATTGTTGGATGAGCTAATGACAACAAAACTCCTTAGAAGAGCACAAAGCAAGTTGAGAGTTTCATTGGTGTTGGACACATTTGCAAAAGGGACAGATTATGGTTCATAACCATACACTTAGCTAGTGCTTACTACAAATGTTCCTTTAAGGGTTTTTCCACTTAGCCCATTTTAAATGTTAATTGAATGCCTTGATTTCTAAGTTTTAATGCTACCCAAGACATATTTTTCTTCTTGCCATGGCTAGTCCTAAAATTATGTATGAACTTTGAAAAAACAATGTTCCCCTCTATCCACAGTAATGTATTTTGGTAGCTGTAAAAGAAGGCATATTGCAAGTGATTCACATGTGGTAAAATGCTGGTTTCATAATTCTGAAATGACCTCTTCCTCAGAAGTTAGGGTTGCCACCCTAGCCCGAGGCTCAACTGTATATGGCAGATATCCAATATGTGACTAATGTTGGCAAAATTATAATAACATTATTAAAGATCCAGCTAGAGTTTCATGGGCTGACCATTCATAAATGAGATTCTCAAGTAGTGGTAATGAAAGTAATATAGAACTTGTCATTGTTTTCCTGGTCACCAATTTAAAAGAATATAGAACACTTTGGAATCAAAAGGCATGGATTTATGTCATGATTCATGACACTACTAGTTGGAAAACTTCCTGAAAATTATACTCTATTTTCCTAGATCAAAAATGGGGATAATGATGATGAGGTTGTTGTTGAAGCAAGAGCTAGTGCTTACTGCTATTAACATTTTAGAACTCAAACAATTTGAACAACAGCTAACCAAGATGTAAGTCGCAATGCTATCTCCTCTAGGGACACTCTCTTGTACTCTCTTGTGTCAAATATATTCTTTAATACTTTTTTAAAAAAAATTTGTGCTATGAAATTAATGTAGCAACATCACTATTGTAACCAGGAAGGGCTGGTGAAACCACAGAACCCAGCTTCCTCTGTCATAAATTCCGGAAGTAACTTTTCATAAGGCTGAGAAAGATGAAAAAGTGAAAGGAGCTCTCTTAACACAAAAAGTTAAAATGTAAATCATTAGAAAGCTACATGCTCAATCCACAGATCAACTGAGATTGGTAAATAGCACATGTTCATGAAAAGATTTGTACATATTCACAAAAAGATCATTAATGAGAAGAAATGTGCAATAGTGTTAACTTCCATATAGCTTGGTCTGTGATTACCTGATCAATTTTATTACCAAATTTGCTAATGCCAATCATGGAGATCAAATCAGTGGTAGAGCTCTTTGGTAGCTAATTGAAAACTATATTGAGCTAAAATAGTAGATCTTAAATGCCTTTTTATAAGCTTTAACCATTACAATGAAAAAGACAGGGAAAATAAATGTTTTGTGAGGTGATAGAATTAAGCTAGCTTTCTTGCAGAACATAAGTATTAAATGGGCAGAATGATTTAGCAATAAAATTTGGCTAGACTACTTTTTGCTATGGTATGCAGATATCTGTAATTGGCTTTGGGCCATGATAAAATCTTTTTCCTTTAGAGCAATTTTTTATATCTCATCACCATGCTTGTGTCTCTTAAGTTTTGCCAGTCAGTATCTGACTGATTTCCGGAACCATTTTCTCCCCCTGGCTTTCCTGAGGATGGTTCTATTCTGAATGCTTTTCTTTTCCAGACTATGCCTGTAGGCCATCAGATTGCTTCAGACTAAAATGTAGGAACTCAGTACATGTAAGGCACAAAGCTGATTCCTGTAGGAACACTCTCTGGTGTCAAATAAATTACTCAAGTCACTTATTTTTTGTTAATTTATGTTATGTAATTAAAATAGTTGTATTATTTTCCCAGGCTTTCTCAGCTTTTTAAAAAAGAAATTGTTGCATAGTATAGCCATTTTTAGAAATGTAAAAACTAGTGAAGTACAGTAGATTTCACAAAATTTATTTTGATCCCAGCAGACACACTTTTGGAGGGGAACTTGGGGGCTGAAGCTACCCTCAAATGCTGGTTCAGCTAGGCAAGCGCTCTGCTGCTCAAGCTGTGCCCCAGTCATTGTTGCTTGTTTGTTTTTGAGACAGGGTCTGGCTACCACCTTTGCTAGTAGCCTTGGACTGGAGATCCTTCTGCCTCTGCCTCCTGAGTAGCTGCTGTTAAAGATATGCACAACCACAGCCAGCTTCTCAGACTCACTTTTGGTATTATATGTGATCATACCTTTAGTCTCTTGACTTTTCTGTTTTGAAGTTTTTGTTTTCTAATTGAAATGAATGGAATTATTGATTTTTTTTTAAAGTCATAGCAAAGTACTTTGCCAAGTAATCAGTCATATCATTTATTGTGAAGATTTTATTAAGGGCTTCAATGAGATTTTCAAAATAGAAATTCTGAATACTGGAAACTATGTTAGAATTACTAGGATATTTTGGATGTGCCGTTGAAGCAATTGATATGAAATTCTATGTGGCAACTACAATTGCACCATATTAGACTGTAATGGGGAGTTAAATCTTGTGCCAAATTGACTTTACCTTAGGAAACGACTTTAAATTTATCAATTGTTAGAGAGAAGAGAATGCATTAGAATGTATTGGTTCTTCACAGAGATGACAAAATAGTAATTTAAACAATCCCCATGATAATTAAGTGGAGATTGTCTCTGCTTTTTGGTTATTATTTCCCTCAGGTATTTAATCTCATTACTTGGAACTACAGTTATTTTTCAGCAGGAGTGGATTCAAGTACTTTGTCTGAACAAGCTGTTTAAGGAATCAGCTTATGAGTTTTACTCCTCATGAGTCATTTAGTTTCATATCATGAATTTAAAACTGTAGAGATTATCTTTCCACCATCCTTCACCAGTATTCATGTTACTAATCTCCAGCAGGCCATAAGAAAGGGTGCAGAGAGATCGATCAGTGTAGACCTTGAACATAGACTCCTACAGGCACAGCCCCAGACAAAAAGATAATTAGTGACTTTGTGTGTGTATGTGTGTGTAGAAAACAGAAACATTAATTTTAATATAGCTCGTTTTAAAATATAAATCTATTAAATAAAACTATCATTAAACTGTAATGACAATTTGAGAAATTTCTTTTAAGATAATAGTTTGCCAGAAGAGCACATTGCACATTGCAATTTCACCCAAGTACTTTTTAGAACAACAACAGCAACAACAAAAAACACTGAATAGATTAATCTTTTCCAGGTTTTTTCCCCCTTTTTTCTTGGGAAGAAAAAATGTAGTATTAGTTTTTAGACAGCTCAAATATTAAGAAATGTGAAGATACCAAGTACTCCAAGTACTGAAATAATTTTACCCCAAGAATTTGAAAAAAAAATAGATTTCTTAGAAGGAATACATGGATTGAGTTTTCAGTCCACCCACTTCTGCAGACTCTCCCACATTGTTTCATCTTATAAATGTAAACATCTTTTTTCTCTAGCCATTCTTTTGACAGGTCCAAATTAATTCTGTATAGATTCTTTAGTGGCTTACAAAATGGTGTCTCATCTTCAGTGTTGCCTATCTTTTAGCCATTCTCCATGATGCCATATGAGTGGTCTTCAGAAATATAAGTGGAATCATGATGCTTTCACTTTACACACCAAAGCATTAGACGTTCATTCAAATTCTTTGCTGCAGCTTCTGTCAACATTACTTCCTCCCACAAACATTATTCAGCTTCACAGATATGTCAGACTTCTCTGTTTTTTACTCTTTCGCCAGACTAATTTTGACTCATTTCAAGTGAGGCTTCACTCAGCCATCACTTCCTCTTAAGTTTTCTTGGTCTTTGTGGTTTCTCAGGGAGAGCACACTCAAGCTCAGTTCCTTGAGGCTAAGGATGATATTTCCATGTTTCTGCATCCTGAGTGCTTGGCATCTGGTGGGTGGTGCATAAATTTAGGGCCATAAAATGAATCACTAGCTCTTCTCTACAGCCCACAATGCTTACTTATTATAGTTATCTGATCTCTAGGGGTTAAGACTGAATATGTTAATAAAGAGTGCAATATCTAATTGGGGTTTATTTTTAAGGATAAGAGCATTTTAAAAAATACTTACACCTCACATTTTATCATACCTCTAAATTTAATCCCAACAAGTAAAGAGTTTATATTCCATAATGTTTGCATGCACAAGGAGAAGTATTTATACGTGGTTGATTGGTTTTGTAAAGAATCTACCCATTTTCTTTCCAGACACTTCTTTAAAAATGGCAATGGTATCAGAATTCCTCAAGCAGGCCTGGTTTATTGATAATGAAGAGCAAGGATATGTTGTAAGTAGAGACAATAAAATGACTTACTTACTTACAATACCAAATTAGAAACCAACATGAGTAAATGGACACTAATTTATGTTTCTGTCATCCATAGCAAACTGTGAAATCATCCAAAGGTGGTCCTGGGTCAGCCGTATACCCTTATCCCAGCTTCAATCCATCCTCAGATGTTGATGCCTTACACAAAGCCATAATGGCTAAAGGTGATTGTGTTTCCTTAAAAGAGTCTTCTCCTGAATATTTCAGAGTGTCAGAGCAGTTATTTGAATAGCTGCTGGAAAACAGACTTAAATGATGGACAGTCTTTCATTTGGAAGATAAGACAATCTCTTTGTCAAGTGAAGATTGTTCCTTTCTTAGTACCTAGAGAATTTTTGTCAAGCCAGTGATCTCTACTACTAAAATAGATAGCCTTCCTAGCTCATTTCTAGTAGAACTCAATATTGAAACCAACATTTCTGATCACAGTTAGGGTTTGAGCTCAGATCAACCATTTCAGCTGAGGTCCAGCAGCTGTTGCGTCTTCATTTCTCATTCGAATGAATGTAACGTTATCCTAAATGGTATAGCTTGGTGACCATGCGGTATTCATTTCCAAGACTGATAAGATTTATATCTCTTAAGAGTTTTCCTTGGAGCATCTTGATAAAAAATCATTTCATGTCAATTGTCGATGATGAAGAAAATTGATTTTAAAGTTTAAGATCCTTTATTTCCAGGTGTGGATGAAGCAACAATCATTGACATTCTAACTAAGAGGAACAATGCTCAGCGCCAGCAGATCAAGGCCATGTATCTCCAGGAGAAGGGAAAGGTGGGTTAGGGTGGTGAATTTGGATATTTCATTGTGGTCACACTTGTGCTTAAACATTGATTCTGAAGCATAGTTCTAGTTCTATCTGTGTCTAACTCCTGTTTTCCCGTTATCTCTAAGACTGGGAATGTAGAATATGTCCACTTTGTTATAATTGAATTGATTCTAGCAAATTTACTGGTTTTATATATTTGGCCATCTTGGTGTAAGTTCTTTGCATATTTCTGTATTGGAGATAAGTCTCATTTGGGTATCACTGACATCAAGATTACTATAGGCAATAAGGAATATGTTCTGATCGAAATGAATATTCTGCTAAAATTTAAAATGAGCTATTTAGCACTAAAATCTATAATCTGTATGATTCTACTCAATAAGTGTGTTTTATGTCTTTTATAGCAATATGGGTAGTTTTTTTTCATTAGTATAGTTAGAAAACTGTAAAATATCATTTTTGGGTTATATTATTTGAGTAGTGTAAGTCTCAAGGCTTGGAAAATTTATTAAATTATTTTAATCCATTCTTACTACTATTTTCTGTTAACATACAGCTTCTTATGTTTTGAGCTTTGTGACTTGTTCTTTATATTAAAGATTGAGATCCCTATCTTTTAAGAAAATTCCAATGAATTCAGTAAATTTTGTCTAATTTTGCTAGCTCTAAAAGATTAAGGTGACATTTCTAAATATCTGGTGTGCTTTTCAATGTGAAAGGAAGGAACTATGAAAGATGGTTGGGCTTAGGGATATGTAGTAAGATGACCTACAGATCAAGAAATACTACAGTGTTGTGAAACATAGTATATTACTTCCTAAAAGCCCTACTTCTAATCTTTTATACAGCCCCTAGATGAAATTCTGAAGAAAGCCCTTACAGGTCACCTTGAAGAAGTCGTCCTGGCTTTGCTGAAAACTCCAGCCCAGTTTGATGCAGATGAACTGCGTGCTGCCATGAAGGTAAATGATCCATTTTAGGCAAAACTCTTTTTCTCAAGGCAATATATAGAGCAAGTCTGCTTGGTACTGCTATTTTATCTTTAATATCTACTACAGAACATGTCAATCAGTGGGAACTCAATGGCTGAGTAAATTACTAATTCAATGAATGAAACAGGGATATGAAACAATAAATGTTGGTACTAATACTCTCCTTGTAATTTCACTGTATGAATTAAATACCTTCATTTTTATATTTTACCTAAAATAATTAAATTGACTAAATGAAAAGTTCCAACAAATTTTGTGACACAAAAATCTTAAATAAAGATTTGTGTATATAATTTCTTTTCTTTCAATTCAGGGACTCGGAACTGATGAAGACACTCTCATCGAAATTCTGGCATCTAGAACGAACAAAGAAATCAGAGAAATTAACAGAGTCTACAGAGAGGGTAAGTTGTAATGTTCAGTAGTCTGAGTGTCTTAGTTTGAAAAGAAATCTGATATGCTTCCTAAAAACTGAATATAAATATTTAATTATGGGGGGCTTTAGAAAATATATATACTACCATGTTTCTATATTGTTTGGCACAGGTCCACTGGATACACACACTACTACCAGGCAACATTCAAGTTGCTAGGGTGCTCATGAGGGACCCCATGTTCCAACCCACATGGAATTTGCATTTATTATATTAAAAATGCTCATTTAGAACTAATGGTCACGTGTTGTTATAATGGAAAAACCAATTCAGAACAATGAATTTAAAGAGTGTTATACCCTAGTACCACCAAAATCAATATAATAGTTTCTAGAAACATTTTCTGCTATTCTAAGATTTATTTCATAAAAATGTTCTGCTCTCTTTATTTTGAAAAGAGTATATAATAAAAAAAAACCCTCTAAACAAAATATTCTCCATTTGTCCCTGAAAGGGTAAAGAATTAGATATTTTGATTTGTTGTTGAGAACTTTAGCTTCATCATTATGAGCATATATGATTCATCAGCTATTTCTCTGGTTAGATCCATGAAGAAGAAAGACCATTCAAAACTTATTTTATCTCTTTAGGGAAACATTTCATATTGTCAACACTCCAAAGAGAGTGACCACAAGTCATTAACCATTTTCTAGTTTCCCCAAATCACTGGCTTTTTTGTTTTCCCAAACAAATATATGACTCCATAGAGAATTTTTCTGTCTGATTCCCACACTGAGCACCAACACTACAGCAACTCTTGCCAATTGTTAGTAGAACAATTTAGTAAAGGAATAAAAATAAAGAAGCTGTTTATTTCATTTTATGCAATTTTTATGTCATAACCATTGTTTATCTAACTTCCATTTATCAGTGTTAATAATCAAAAGCGGCATTATTATTAAACTTGTTTGCAACTCAGTGTAGAAAAGTAATTTTCTGTATTTCTCTGTTATATACCAAAGATATAGTCCATTAAGTTGTTAAGTTGCTCTGTTTCTACTTCATTTTAATTCAGTTAATTTTGTCTATTTCATTACTAATTTATCTAGTTAAGTAGGTATATATAGACAGTTACATATATACATACCTATATATCATTAATCTATATTATATAAGAGATTTTTTTATGGAACTGGGGCTTAAATTCAGGGCCTACATCTTCAGCCACTCCTTCAGCCCTTTTTGGTGAGGAGTTTTTCAAGACAGGATCTCACCAAATTATTTGCCCAGGCTGACTTTGAATCACAATCCTCCTGATTGCTGCCTCCTAAGTGGCTAAGATTATAGACATGAGTCCCCAGTGCCCAACAGGATATATTCTTTTAGGTAAATTATATTTAAGCAAGTACCTCTGTGTTTATTCTTTGACTGTTCTACTTACTCTGTTGCTTATATTTTGGCATGCTGTACTTCAGAAATAATTACTTAATAATGTACACTTAAGCAATTTATCCTTGCTAGCCAACCTTGACCACTATGGGTTTTCATTGATGGAATTATTGAAATTACTTCCATTGCTGTAAGGAGAAATTGATTGGACAATTTAAATTTTACCTGCTTGAACTTCTCTATTTTTTAAGAAAATGATAATATTTTGAAATGTGTTCCATAATTCATTGAACACTGTGCTGTTATGAGATGTAAGCTGACACAGACATGTCCAATACTATTATCTTATAATAAGAATACTTATTTTTCAGTAGTTTACTACAAAGCCTACTTTTCTTTTTTCTCAGAACTGAAAAGAGATCTGGCCAAAGACATCACATCAGACACATCTGGAGACTTTCAGAAGGCTTTGCTTTCCCTTGCTAAGGTATAACTCAAGTATTTTAGGATATGCCTCTGCTCTTATGAAGAGTAAAATCTTAAATTTGAACTCTCTCTCTGGAAATGGGTGATTTATCCTTTTCAATTAATACTATTTTAGTTGATAAATTATAATTATATTTTTGGGGTACAATGTGATGTTTGGAATTAATAAATGAAACTATATAGCATATCCATCATCACACCTATCAATTTTCAGGTGAAACATTTGAAACTTCTTCTATTTCTTTACAAATATGCAATGCCTTACTACTGATTATGGTCACACTGGTGTGAAACAGACCCCAAAATGTATTATTCTTATTTATCTGAAATTTTGTACCCTTTGGCCATCATCTTCTCATGCAGTATTTGTCTTTTATTATAATTAATGTAAGATTTATCCTTGTTATTTCAAATGACAAGATTTTCTTTTGATTCTCTTTTGCTCAAAGAATATTATTTGTCTGATATTAAGTGATTTAAATAAAGCATGATTATATTTTTCAGGGTGACCGAAGTGAGAATTTGGGTATAAATGAAGACTTGGCTGATACAGATGCCAGGGTAAGCAAGTCTCAGAAAATACTGCTGGAGCTAATCTTCTACCTCTGGGGTCCCCACTTGATGCCCTTTACATTAAATTTCATCTCAGATCCTCTGAGAGGCTGGCCAGTGGTTGCTCCTGAATGAGACACAGCTTTCCTGTGGCCCAAGAGCAAAAAAAAAAATGTAGTATTCAAGGTTCAATTAATCTCATTGTTCATAAAACCAGAGAGGATCAAAAGAGAACAATGAAAATTTGATCTTTCTCAATAGTTGTTTTGTTGAGAAAACTCTGACCTTTTGCTTTATGAAGGAAAGGAAAAGATTTTTTTTTTTCAGACATGACCAGCATAAGCTGGTCTAGAATTTCCTAAATAGCCCAATCTGACATCAAATTATAGATCCTCCTGCCTCAATCTCCCAAGTGCTGGGATTACGGGTGTATACCACCACACATAGTTAGGAAAAGAAACTTTTATTAAGTGAAGGGGAATTGGTTAACACATCTAATGTTCCTTTAACTGTCATAATCAGAATAGTTTATATACATGCGTCTTTATTATAAAGATTGCAATGATATTATGATAATGTAGAATATATATCATACTTACATAACTTTAAATATATTGTATATAATTCCACTGAGGTTGCCAGTATTTATACCATAATCCATTGGCAACAGTAGAAAAATGTGGCATTTTAGGGTATAGAATTTCTGTCTTAAAAAAAATCCAAATGAATGTTATTTGACTTCCTCACAAAACACCAGCACATTATCTCATACATAATAGGCACTAATTAACTTTTTGTCAAACTAAATGTATACATACCTGATCACTATGCTTGAAGTGTCCAAAATAACATTTTTATGTACATTGGAAGTTTGATTATTTTAATAGAAGTTGTACAAACATATCAAAGAACAAGAATTATTATTTAAATAATTGCCCATGTTAAATTTTTTCTGATTTTTTTGTGATATTTCTGAATATTCTTTTTATTTTAAGACTATCAGAGCACATTGACTTGAATTTATGGAGACTGCATGGATTACTGTGACCCAGGAGGATGACAGTAATTAATATTTCAGAGTTAATATAGCATACTTGTGGCAATAGGGCAGGGGATTATTTTTTTCATCTACAAAAGAGGAAAATCTATGGTTTAATAAAGGTAAATTATTACAGGGTTTTTAATTTCCAGAGTCAGAATTTATATACAGAAATTATAACATCAAAATGTCAGATCTAGGTTTCAGTTGAATTATTGATTTATAATGACTATTTGATGATTCTATCTTTGAAAAATGAAGACTGAAAAATCTGTTTTTATAGAGGAGTTGTCTTGATATAGAATATAATCTTTAAAACAATTTGATTCAGCAAATAATTATTCAGTCTCTAGTGTTTACAGGTACCTTGAGAGATGCTGTGGCAGACACTTGACTAATGAAATAGAACTCCTGCCTAAGGAATATGGAATCCTAATGTTGACTACTCGACTATTGAGCACAAAACTAGTGCTTAGAAAATCTTTAAAGAGATCTAACATTCTTGTACAGATATCATCTCAACAGATAGTCAAGTGTTTATTTTTGTTTCATGACAGGCCTTATATGAAGCAGGAGAAAGGAGAAAGGGGACAGATTTGAATGTGTTCAATACCATTCTGACCACTAGAAGCTATCCTCATCTTCGCAGAGGTAACAAGAAAAAAAAAAAAGCCTCTGTGATATTCTTACATTAGATGTGAATTTTTTTTCATTTCAGAACAAATAAGAGAAAGGAAAGAGAAAAGTCCTAATCAGTTTCTGTTCTATATCTAATGGATATAATTTTCCTTACTCATTATTTCTATAGATCATCTGTCTGATTTTGTACAATCAGCACTTCATAAGATTAGAGATTCATTTTGTGACTTTAGCATGTGAAACATCTTTCTTTATTTTCACAGTTTCATTCTCCCAAAGAATTTGGGATAGATTTGAAATATATATATATGGAGAGAGAGAGAGAGAGAGAGAGAGAACAAACAAATGAAATTGCAATGACGAGAAACAAACAAAACAAAACAAGCTAACTCAAGGGCAAATGAAGAAAAGAATATGTAGATATTAGAAACAAACCCAAAACAGAGCAAAACTTAAATAGTTGTGGCCTTTGAGCACAAGATTTACCTCAACCTCCTGGAGGCCAAGGCAAGGGTAAAGTCATCATGGCTACCTCAAAACATCACACTGATTTCTAATATTAAGTAAGAGAAAATTTCTGTCCAGATATTCATAAAAGTAAAGTCAGTAGCAAATAGCACTGCTGTATAAGGGGTTGTCAATCTCATGCCATTTCTAATAACTGTTAAGCACATATACATATCCCCAAAATATATAGAAATATCAAAATAGCCATATGCCTTACATTTTTAGGAGAAGAAAGAATACCCATATTATACTCAGTCATGTCAATAGTTTTTAAAAGTGTGGCTAAACTTCAGTTATCCTAAGGAGTTCCCAGTTACTATTATTATGCTAAGGCTTGGCATAGAATAAGATGCTTTCTACATATCTTAGTTTAAATTTATTGTTCAGTGTTTCAGAAATACACCAAGTATAGTCAACATGATATGAACAAAGTGCTGGACCTGGAGCTGAAAGGTGACATTGAGAAATGCCTCACAGCCATTGGTATGTAGTCCTGCATAAGTACGAGTTTCCTAAGTAGAAATTGTGTTGTCAACTTTTTCCCATACTTTAAAAAAGATAGATTAAAAAACATAACAAAAAACATGTCTTCAGATATGGTGAATTAATATGCAACATGTAAGACTGACAAAGAAATATGATGACCTTCTTACTTAATGGCAACAGATATTAGGTGCAATACACTTACTGAACATCTGCTTATGCCCAGCAATGCACCAACCTGGAAACACCATCTGAGCAATTCAGAATGATTGTTGAGACCATAGTATTTGGAATTAAACCATTCAAATCCTGTTCTATTACTTCTTAGTTGTATGATATTAGGTAAATTGAGAAGAATCTGATGTGGTAGGTCTGGATTAATTTCTGAAAATTTGATCTTGTAAAGGTCTCCCAGGTTGTTCAGATGACCATCAGGGTCAGGGAAACCATGTTCTCAGGCAGTGCTTCTGAATATGAACATTTGATAAATGCCCTGGGAATCTTATTAACATGCAGATTTTGATTCAGTAGGTCTGGAGTGGGGCCTGGTTTCTACTTTTATAACATGTGTCTGGTGGATACCAGTTCTGTTGGTTCATGGATACCATTAATGGTAACTGCATTTGAACTCAGGGCTTTGTACTTGCTAAGCAGACACTTTCCCACTTGACCCATGGCTCCAGTCCTTTTGGCTCTGTGTTCTTTGGAAATAGGTTCTCACTTTTTGCATAGGCCACAACCTTCCTATTTAACAATTTTCAACTTCCCACCATCACTGAGATATCAGTTGCATGCCACCGCACCCAGCTACTGGTTGAGACAGGGTGTCCTTAACTTTTTGCCTGGACTGGCCTTGAGCCATGATGCTCCTAGTCTTACCTTCAAGTAGCTAGGGATACAGGCATGCACTGTTGGGGCCTACTCATGGATTCCACTTTCAGTAGCAAGATAAAGAAATAACATGACAAATAGGCGTGTGATAGTAGTTTGTTTGGACAACTGCCTTATATTTAAAGCTCATCCTACCCTAGGACTTTAAAAAAAAGTTCTTGTTATAACATAAATCAAGTATTTACCTGTAAGATGTTTTAAGACCTGCTGTCCTCTCTGTATCCACAGAGAGTATATTCAGGATAACAGTAACTATTAAAATTGCTGTCCAAGTGTATTTAAGGTAATTAGGAAATAGATAATGTGGACAGATGAAGTAATACTCAAAAACACCAGCTGGAGAACCATCCTATCTTCTAATAAGCCCAATATCCCATATTGGGAGGAGATGATAGAATCTTATTTCCTGTTATGCATCTTTCTTCTTTTGTGATAAATATACCAACCAAAATCTGTCTCTCTTGCAGTGAAGTGTGCCACAAGCATGCCATCTTTCTTTGCAGAGAAGCTTTATCTGGCCATGAAGGTACCATTCTACTTCCATGCTTTGCTTAGAGGGAACACTGTTTGTATACAGAACAGAAAACTTAATGTTATTTGAAAGTCACAGTAAATATCTTTCAGTTAAAGAGAATCATTATTCTATTCAATCCAAGAAGTAACAAATTATTAGACTATTCTGTTAGATATGGTGCAATATAAAAAAATGTAGCCATGTGATTTTAAAATAAGCTTGTAAGTGATTTATGGCTATTTATTATTTAATTAAAACCTGAGTCATCCAGGGAAGGACAATATAGTTTTCCTCTGAGAATGCATCTTACTAACCTACTTCCACAATGATCGTTAGTTTTATAATCTTCTACTTTCCTCTGTCATCTTTATTATGCTGTCTTTCATGTCATGATTAATAGGACATCTTTTAAAATGTCATTCTTTGATTATAGAAGTAGAAGTTACTATTGAGATATATTTGAGGTGTGTCTTCAACTACTTCATTTTAATGTTACTCTCTAGCTTGCATGGTATTATATAGTACATCATCTCTATATTTTGGGCTGTCAAATGAATCATCATGAAGTTGTCATTGTTTCTCCTTTATAACTCCAAAGTAGCTTTCAGAAAGATAGAGGGAGAAGATAGGGAAAGGGATAGAGAAAGAGAGAGCTGACCATTCAAATAATATTAACAATCCTCTATGAAATGATAGACATATTCCGTGTGTCTGACAAGAGATGACAGGAATTATGGAAACAATTGCATAGTAGTTAGCACAGCTGCTGCTTTCATGTCTGCCATTGTCTAGTGTGGTATTTCAGTGGGCAATGATGAATACCTGCAAAGAAGGTCATGTGCCCCAGATCTCAGAAATCAATGAAGCCTTGCTGTCAGTTTATCTAAGACCTAAAGTTTGACTAGGAATGAGTTAGATAAAGGTGAGGGTAAAAGAGAGGAAGAATAAAGCAAAGGTGCTCCAAGAAGAGAAAATGGCATGTACTCAGGTCAACCCTTTCAAAACAGTAAATACGAGTAGAGTGACAATGTAGATAAACAGTATGATAGTCCCTGATAAAATGATTGGTGCAATAGACCATTGTTGGTGTTTTAAATAGATGAATTCAATGATCAGATTTAAAACTTAGAAAAAAATTCACTTTGCTTACAATTATAAGCTAGTACATACATAGGAAAGACAGGAAGGTAGAAGACCAGTAAGGAGGTTGTAAAAGTTCTTTGCTTTAACTGCTCATGTAGCAGCCAATTTCTCGTTATTTTATTACTACTTGTGTAGTGTATGTGTGTGTGTGTGTATCTATAGATATGGAGGTAGATTATATGAAAGGTGAAAGGGCTTCTCTTTAAAATCCATGAATAAGATTTTTTTCTGGATATGAGAGGAATCTATAATTTGTTTTGGACAGGGTTCTGGAACTCGTCATAAGGCATTGATCAGGATTATGGTCTCCCGTTCTGAAATAGACATGAATGATATCAAAGTATTCTACAAGAAGATGTATGGTATCTCTCTTTGCCAAGCCATTCTGGTATGTTGTGATTTACATAACACCACCTCCAGAAATGAAAGTTCTTTCACAACATTTTCAAAAAGAAGAGCTGACTTACTGAATCCATAGTTTAATATCTAAGAATAATTCACTATGTTGGGGTGAATATTTCATAAATAAATTAAACTTTCACAGGTAAAATCAGTTCTGGTGTTTCCCTACCACAGAATTTCTGCCATTGTTGGTAACAAGATTTATTTTGCAATTAATATTAGAGGATAAGGAACTTAGTACTAAACTATATTCTAAATATTTTACTGGTTGCCACTTCTAAATCTAATTTTGTCAGATGTAAATTGTTTAAAATGTATGTTCAAATTATTTCATTAGAGTGTTGAAAAATAAGACAAAGGAAAGACAATTGTTTTTGATTTATTGAAAGATAAGCAGTTATTTAAACTGGTAGCATTATTTGTATTTGGTAACTATAATAAGCCAACAAAAAATGAGAAAATTATAATTTTCTGATGAGTGAGTCAGATATTTTGATTTGTGATATGATATAGTATTTTGTTAAATTTTATTATTCAATTATGTGATATTATATCACACTTAGAAAATAATGTCTCTAACATAAAACATAATTAATTTAGAGAAGTCTGTAATCTGAATCTTGAAAGCCTTTGCTTTGTATACAACCATCTAGCTAATCAGTATCTGCTCTACTACATATTTTTAATTAAGATGGACAGAATTTTAATCAAAGATCCCAGAAAATTGATGTACTACAATACATTATCTGACCCACATCTAACTCTATAAATACCATAGCTCTTTTATAACTAAAAATGTATTGCTTATGATTTTGTAAAGCATTAAGTGTACTCTATTTTTTAATCAACAGGATGAAACCAAGGGAGATTATGAAAAAATCCTGGTGGCTCTTTGTGGAGGAGACTAAACATTCCTTTGATGTTCTCAAACATAATAACTAGAAGACTTCTTATCATAGCTGTTCATTGTACAACATAGGTTTAAGTAGGAAAGTTTCTTCAGCAGGATTGCAGTCTAGCTATTTGCTTTCTGAAAAAATAAAGTTCATAAGTAATTTTTATATCATAACTATGTAATAGAGATAAGCCTGTTTTTTAAAATATGTTTACTACAAACCATAAAACCCAAACAAGTTGTTCTGGTAACAAAACCAGAAAGATGTTCATAAAGACAAAAATAAAATGATTTTACAAGACAGTTGGTGTATTGTTGGCTCTTTTATTCACATTTTTTTCTGTGTAACACAGTGATTTAACTTGATATCAAGGGACTAGAGACTGTATCGAACATTGCAATTAATGAACTAACGTTCCCATGGCTGAATTGAAGGAAACATTAAAGAATTTGGAAATGAATTTCTCAGCATTTTATCAGTAGGGTTGCACATGATCAAGAGGTGTTTCTGTGTAACAATGGGTTTTACTATACTACCATTATGATTTGACATCAGCTGTATTTCATGGGCAGTATGAAAATGAAATAGTAACTCCAATGAAAATTTCTCACGTTTGTTTTACGATAATTGTATACTTAGATTTTCTAAAAAAAATGCCCCAAACTAAAAAACACCGAATTGTTTTCCATACTGCTGATACCACTTTACTTCTCCAGCTTCTCTATATCCTTGTCAACATTTGGTGTTGTTACTATTTGGTACTTCATAGTCCTTTAATTTTTTTATTGAGTTTTGAGAATACATTACATATTCTAGGTAATAGTCTTTTTTCAGATATATTTTTTCTCTACATGTGTAGGTTTCTTTTCATCCTTTAAATGGGTTTTCACAGGACAAATGTTTTAAATTTTAATGAGATTCAACATAATTTTTGTTATATATAATATAATATATAATTATATATGCACAATAATGTATGATTGTCTATATAGTATATAATTTTTCTTTTATATATACTTAAAAGAAAAATTAATATATATTTTTTGATATCATATCTACAAACACTTCATCTAGTCTTAGGCTGTAAATGTTTTTATCCTGACTTTTGCAAATCTTTTATAGTTTTGTATCCTACAAGTATGTTTTGATTTATTTGGTGTTAATGTTTGCATTACATGTAAGACTTAAGTTGATATTTTTGTGTGTATGAATGTCCAATTTCTCCTGTGTCATTTGTGATTTGTGGAAAGATTATCCTTCCTATATTAAACTGCTTTTATAGCTTTGTGAAAAACAAAACAGTTGGTCATATTTGTGCTTGTCACACTTTAATTTTTAGAATTTATCTTGAGTCAACTAAGATATATTGCAAGCCCTTTTGTAAATCACAATGTACCCCAGTACAACAATACATGATAATAAAAACAAATAAAAATTTTAAAATAAAATAAATAAAACCTTTCATTTTCTCAAGGCCAAGGAATACATGCTGTATAACAATTTATTTGAGCATTAGCTGTGATAAAAACTCTCTTTAAAGAACACAGAGAAAAGAACTATTTTTCCCATGAGTTTTCTTGCCATACAGAATTAGATAAAGGTGGTAACTTGATATATTCATCCCTAAAAGACTTGGATTGGGCATTTGACTTTCTGACTATCCTTGGCTGCATTAGGGGTTAACTCTCTTCCACCTTATTGTAGCTTATTTGGCTTGATCATCTTCCTTGACTTTCTTCCACACATACCCGTCCCATGTATCCTATGGAACTATGGAGTCAAGCTAAAAGACCATATTTTTATGGTAATTAAACTATTCTGTCTAATACTCAAATGGTTGATCCATGTTCCTGTGCACTTGTTGAAACCTATCCAATGGTACTTCACTGTAAACCCACCTCTATAAATTATGGATTTTAGTTAATAACGTATCAGTATTGGTTCATCAATTATAAGAAATGTACCAATTAATGAAGAATGTTAATAAGTAACATTGTGAGAGAGAAGGAGAAGAAGTGTATAGAATCTCTATTTTGAGTTTTTTTCCTTTTCTCTCTTTTTTGGTAAATTTAGTAAACAAAGCTATAAAAGGCAATTTTATAATACCAATTTTCTGTTTTGATGGCATATTTCCCTTTGGGAGTTAGAGTTACAGAAAAAATACTCAAGATATATAAATATCACTGTCTATTGTCAAGATTTAGGAGAAGAAGAGGAAGAAGTGACTACAGTCTCAGGCTCCATGACAAAAGATACTAAAATTAAACCTCATGCTAAGAAACAATTTTCTCCTGGTGGCCAAGATACTTCTCTTCATAAGCTGTGGTGTGGGCTAAACATCTGACAATACTCTGCATTTTTATATTCATGCTGGAAAACATCCTCATTCCTGCTATTTGGCTTTCTAGTGTAAATAAGTGTTTAGGCTCTGTGTTAGGAGCTCAGTTTCTTTCAAATAGTCTTTGATACCCAAAGAAGTCTTCCGAGCTCCAGTGGCGCAATCGGTTAGCGCGCGGTACTTATACAGAAGTCTTCCGCTATGTGTTCCTGTAATATTGCATTATAATTGCCTTATCAAGTGTCCTTGTTCTTTTCTAGATTCCACAATGGTAAAGACTGTTTTATTTAACTCTATGTATCTAGTACCTAACTCAGTCCTGGAAGATAATATATAACTTAAAATTGTAAATATAGAAATGTCATACAGAAATAAAACACAGTAGTATTTTGCATCTGCAGAAACACTTATTCATCCTCCTTTTTTGCCTGGTATATGGTTTTATTTAGGTTACTATATCCATATGCACAATGTACATGCATGAACATGCATGAACACTTGTTGGCGTGGGCACACAGGAGTGGAAATGAAACACTGTCAATACACAACTCTTAAAACAGTAAACATTTTCAACAATGTGCATAAATATAGAAATAGTATAGCTCAGTTTCATATGTTCCACATATTTCATCTATGTGTAAAGCCACTTCCTCACAAGCTACTTGAGCTTCTTTCTGTATTAGTTTTCTCTATATTCATTTGTTTCTTCTTATTAAATAATAAAGCAAATATCTACTTGAATGACCCACCCTGTTATTTGTACCCTATGTTATTCCCTGTCACTGAAGTTCCTAGGTTAATTCCTTCAAGCACAATTTCCTTTTGACTCACTTATTCCTCTTGTCTCACTTATTCCTCTTGTCTCACTTATTCCTCTTGTCTCACTTATTCCTCTTGTCTCACTTCTTATTCCTCTTGTCTCACTTCTTATTCCTCTTGTCTCACTTATTCCTCTTGTCTCACTTATTCCTCTTGTCTCACTTATTCCTCTTGTCTCACTTATTCCTCTTGTCTCACTTATTCCTCTTGTCTCACTTCTTATTCCTCTTGTCTCACTTCTTCCTCTTGTCTCACTTATTCCTCTTGTCTCACTTATTCCTCTTGTCTCACTTATTCCTCTTGTCTCACTTATTCCTCTTGTCTCACTTATTCCTCTTGTCTCACTTATTCCTCTTGTCTCACTTATTCCTCTTGTCTCACTTATTCCTCTTGTCTCACTTCTTATTCCTCTTGTCTCACTTCTTATTCCTCTTGTCTCACTTATTCCTCTTGTCTCACTTATTCCTCTTGTCTCACTTCTTATTCCTCTTGTCTCACTTCTTCCTCTTGTCTCACTTATTCCTCTTGTCTCACTTCTTATTCCTCTTGTCTCACTTATTCCTCTTGTCTCACTTATTCCTCTTGTCTCACTATTCCTCTTGTCTCACTTCTTCCTCTTGTCTCACTTCTTCCTCTTGTCTCACTTCTTCCTCTTGTCTCACTTCTTCCTCTTGTCTCACTTCTTCCTCTTGTCTCACTTATTCCTCTTGTCTCACTTATTCCTCTTGTCTCACTTATTCCTCTTGTCTCACTTATTCCTCTTGTCTCACTTATTCCTCTTGTCTCACTTCTTCCTCTTGTCTCACTTCTTATTCCTCTTGTCTCACTTCTTCCTCTTGTCTCACTTCTTCCTCTTGTCTCACTTCTTCCTCTTGTCTCACTTCTTCCTCTTGTCTCACTTCTTCCTCTTGTCTCACTTATTCCTCTTGTCTCACTTATTCCTCTTGTCTCACTTATTCCTCTTGTCTCACTTATTCCTCTTGTCTCACTTATTCCTCTTGTCTCACTTATTCCTCTTGTCTCACTTTTATTCCTCTATGCCTGATGTGGAAAGAACAAAGCAGTTTCTAAGAATGTGTCTGTGGTTCTCTTCTTATAACAAAACAGTTGCTTAAAAATAACTAAATGGGATTTTATTTTTCCAAAATATGCAGGGAAGAACTACTACATGCTTTAAAATTTTCTTTTATTATTATTATTATTGTGCTGGATGTACATTGTGACATTTAACAAAAGTTCTTACAATGTATCACAGTTGAATTCACCCTCTCCATCATTCTCAATTGTTTCACGTCACGACTGAATGACAAAAACCTGGTATCTTTTGACAATTCCCTTATGGGAATTGATTTCAAAGTGGCAACTAGAGTTCCAGGCAACATGTCTGTAATCAAAACAACATGTCTGGATTCAAGGCAAAAAATAAAGAGAAAAAAGAAAGCAGAATAAAGACAGGTAGTACCCATTGTATTTGTTCTCTTTTAATCTTTGCTTTTCCTTTCTATAAACTATCCCCCACACTTACTTTCATATAATACATTTTAAAACTCACTGATCAGATTTAAAACATGGTGCCAGAAATGATCGTTGCTAGTGGTGTTCATTCAGGGGCAACTTTGGCTCCCAGAAGACACATGAGAGTTTTAAGACAGTTTTTTTTTTATTTTTCTTTTATTATTCATATGTGCATACAAGGCTTGGTTCATTTCTCCCCCCTGCCCCCACCCCCTCCCTTACCACCCACTCCCCCTCCTCCCTCTCCCCCCCTCAATACCCAGCAGAAACTATTTTGCCCTTGTTTCTAATTTTGTTGTAGAGAGAGTATAAGCAATAATAGGAAGGAACAAGGGTTTTTGCTGGTTGAGATAAGGACAGCTATACAGGGCATTGACTCACATTGATTTCCTGTGCGTGGGTGTTACCTTCTAGGTTAATTCTTTTTGATCTAACCTTTTCTCTAGTACCTGTTCCCCTTTTCCTATTGGCCTCAGTTGCTTTAAGGTATCTGCTTTTAGCTGCTGTAACTGAGAGTCAAGTGTCCCTGGTATTTAGTGGGTGTAGACAATGATGCTTGGTAAATATCTTGTAATTTACAAGATAACCCTGCACAACATATGATTGTCTTGACTGAAGAATCAATGATGT